GGCTGGCACCGGTCGGATTGGGCGAGCCCCGTGGTGGCCGTACCTGTTAGGGCGGTCCGCGGGGAAGCCGTGTTTCACGGCGAGTAGTGGTAGGGAGTCTTGGATCGCTTGCGCGCGCGCGGGCGCGCAGAACCGGGCAATGCCGAGGTCGCCTGGGTGTCGGTCGCGCGTGCTGCGTTGGAGGGGTTCGGTTAATTATTATATTGTGTGGCGGTGGTGTTATAACCCTCTCCGTCGGTGCCTGTCCGAGTAGGCGATTCACCAAGCACCTATTCATTTTGGCGTTTAGCCGATTCAAGAAATTGCTCATGTGTGTGATTGGGCGGTAGGCTCTTTAATCGCAGTGTCATGGCTGGAGGATTGATTTGATTGACGTCCTTTAGCAATGCTGTCGTGTTTGCTGTAGGTGCGGCGTGCTGCCTAATTTACTCGTTTGAACTTCCTAATCTTTGCTGAGTTTATCATGTGTATACTGATTAGAGGTGTTTTTAGTGAAGGAGCCTCCTCAATTGGGAAAGTTCACACTCTTCATGCAGGATAGAGAATGTCTCTTAGTGAATTGGGAAACTTCACACTTTTGATGTAAGATAAGATAGGGAAGGACAATTAGTTGCACTTCCTGTTTGCCCAGGCAATGCTGTCTTGTTGTGCTGTACAGCTTGTGTAAGATTTGGCATTGGAGATGAAGCCCACAATTTTATTTGGAAGTGGTCTTCAAGTTGGCTGCTGCTGCTTCTTACTTCTTTTTTTTTCTTGGAGGACAGGCGCATGGGGTTTTGTTGTTTTGAGCGTTTGGAGTTCTTTTTCTGCAATATTAACATTACTAAAATGAAGTGCCAGTGCATTTGCTGTAGGTGTGGAGTGCTGCCTATTTTACTCTTTCAAACTACCTGATCTTTGCTAGGTTTATAATGTGTGGTGACTAGTGAATACTGATCAGTGGTGGTTTTCAGTGAAGAAGGAGCATCCTCAATTGGGGAAGTTCACACTTTTCATGTAGGATTGGGGAGGTCTCTTAGTGAACTGGGAAACTTCACACTTTTGATGTAAGATAAGATAGGGAAGGACAATTAGTTGCACTTGCTGTTTGCCCAGGCAATGCTGTCTTGTTGTGCTGTACAGCTTGTGTAAGATTTGGCATTGGAGATGAAGCCCACAATTTTATTTGGAAGTGGTCTTCAAGTTGGCTGCTGCTGCTTCTTACTTTTTTGTTCTTGGAGGACAGGTGCATGGGGTTTTGTTGTTTTGAGCGTTTGGCGTTCTTTTTCTGCAATATTAACATTACTAAAATGAAGTGCCAGTGCATTTGCTGTAGGTGTGGAGTGCTGCCTATTTTACTCTTTCAAACTACCTGATCTTTGCTAGGTTTATAATGTGTGGTGACTAGTGAATACTGATCAGTGGTGGTTTTCAGTGAAGAAGGAGCATCCTCAATTGGGGAAGTTCACACTTTTCTTGTAGGATTGGGGAGGTCTCTTAGTGAACTGGGAAACTTCACACTTTTCATGTATCATAGGGAAGGACAAATGGTTGCACTTCCTGTTTACCCAGGCAATGCTTTCCTGGCTGTGCTGTAAAGCTTGTGTAAGATTTGGCATTTGACTATTTGAGAGGAGGCCCACAATTTTATTTGGAAATGGTCTTCAAGTTGGATGGTAATTGTTTTGCTGAGGTTTCCAGTAAGGGCATGGGGTTGCTGCTGTTTCTTTAGTGGAAAGGTCATATTTTGTTTGTTCCTGGAGGACAGCCACATGGTGTTTTGATCCTTCTGAGTTCCTTTTCCAAAATGCTAACATGTCTAACATGAAGATGGGCATTTTTGTGTTCTTAGAATTTCTTGTATCAGGAACTCAAGAATGATGAATAAAGGCAATTAACTGATTTATGGATATTTACATTCTGGAAGACACTAGAGAATATAGGTGGGATAGGTTATAGTATTCTTTGCTGCAACTTATGCTTCAGCCGTCTCTGAAGATGGTTACCACAATGTACTTGTGCTTAGAGGATCAATATTTGTTGATTAATTGATGAACATAATTGAATTTTACTCTACTTATCCTGGATTAAAATCTGCATTTCCTTTCTCTGGGATAATGATGAAGTCTACAATATTAATCTTGCTTAACTACTCATAGTTAATTGCATGACATTTGCCTTCCTTGCATGGTGTTTGTTCTGATGGATTCATGACTTCCCATCATTTTTGAAATGTACACAGTTTCGCTGGAACATGAAAGATTGTATTATGTTGGTTAATGTTTATTGATGTCGCAGCTCATCGTTTTTTTTAGTATTGTACTTTCCATTCTTATGCTCTGTTCTTGTAGTTCTAAGTATGGTTTTATATCTGTTGTGTTTTTATGGGTTGTATACATGACGAAAATAAGGCTTGCCTTTTGTAATAGTGTAACAGAAGCGATTGAGGACATTTTTCTTTGTGAAAAGCACAAAATGCGATCTGTTTTTTTTTGTTGCCATTCTGTTGTTTTGTGATGATATTTATGGTACATGGTTCTCTTTAAACAATTTAGCCCAAATTGATTGCCTCCTCACATGACATAGTATTCCTGATCTAATGAGTTGGGTGGTCATGAAGGTAACACCATTGATTGCCAGGGGTAGCTCCTGTGCTGCATCGAAGGGTTCCTTTTGGACAGGGGAGACTTCCTCTTCAGCCGCTGCAGTTGCTATAGCTGTTGCATCTGCCATCACCTAAGGTCTATGTTTTTTTGGGTGTGATTTTACCATTCTGGCGTTGAATTGAGTAAGAGATCTTTTTATTGGGTAGAGGATTCTGTGTATCACCGGTACAGGATTTGGCGATACATTATGGGGATGGGTATGGCGATACAGCGATTGTCCAAAAAGAAGGATATGGCGAAACGCCGAATATATAAAATATATAATTAAAACAATTGCACTTGCATGTTCTCAGAGAAAGGCTCTAAATGATTGAAGCAATTTCAACATGACATATGAAGGAAGGACCAAAGTTATGGAGTAAACGAACAAGTAGGCAATGAACTGATTGGTTAGTTGTCACCATAGCTAGAGTGCATTGATCTCTTGACCTCCAGCGGTAGCCCAGCATATGAAGTCCAAAGTCCCGATGGGCAAGACCTTGAGATCCAGGTGGCAGCACGCACTCACTGGACATGCGCACTCCCAGTGGTGACGCTAGCCCCTGGCTGCATGTGCTCCTGGTGAGGCAGTGACGCTCGCAGTCCCCTGGGGGCCACATGCAAGGGGTAGGAGCCAAGATAAGGCATCAGGTGTTTCTGGGTTGAGACTTGAGAGAATGGATGGGCTAATGCTGTTGGGCTTGATTTGTGAAATGAGGTGCTATTGGGCTAGCATGCATATCAGGAAGATGTATCGTGCCATATCGAGCTGAATCTGTCAATTTGTTTTGTTTCATTTTCCCGATATGCACATTGGTCTGTATCGCGCTGTATCGGATACTGTTATGGTGCCCTTCCTGGTGTATGGGTAATAAATAGGTGGATCATATTGGCGAGAAGCATTTTTGAGCCGGTTGAAATTCAGTCCGGAGATTTTCTGTGCATGGTAGCAGTGGTTCCATTTCAAGTGAAGAGGTTAAAAGCTTGGATTTTGTAGGATTCCTGAAGTTTAATAGGTGTTCACTTTGGTCTGTGGCATTTGCATGTTTTTTTTTAAAAAAAAAAAAAGTTGTCAATGCTAATTTACTTGTAAAATATTTGGAGATGAAGATTTCTTTTTGTGCGTAATACATCTCCTTGGGTGCAATTGAATTTCATGATGATGCTCTCACGTGAATCGCTGAATGGCCAAAACTGAAGTGTTTTTGAGTTTGGAGAATATGATGGTGCATTTGGTGATTTTGATTTTTTTTTTCAAAAAATGATACATAGTGTTATGAACTGATTGTGGTTTGAGTCGACATAATGGACAATCCAACATCGAAGCACATGTCATGTTTACTTAACGAAAATTGTGTGACATGGTGATTGGGTACTTAAACCTTGGATGAAAGGTCAGAAAATGGGTGGGACAGTTGTCTGCTATTCTTGGTACAACTCTGCTGCCTCTTAAGGCCATGACCATAATTTTCTTGTGATTTGAGGATGTGGAGGATCATGATTAGAAATTGAAGATTGAAGTTCAACTGTACTTTGGTACTTTATTTGTGGAGATTAAGGCTTGCACTTTGTATTTCTGGCACAACATTGAGTGTGGCAACATTTAGCCTATGGTCACTTAAAATTATCTCTGTTCAGTTTTCGTTCTTTCATTCTCTATATATGTTTGTCTGTAGAAATATCTTCCAATATCTTTAGTGGAGTCAATTAATTCTGTGTTCACTGCTGCTACCAACAACTCCAGAAGCCCATTTTACTCTCGTCTTGAAGCTACATAGCTTCAGTTTGGCTTTAAAGAGGTGGCACATGGAACGATAACTCAAAAGTTCTAAATAAATAATTCAATAAAAAAGTTCTATATAATTATGGAAAGCTCCCTGAGGACTGCAATTTTCATCCAATTATACAGACTTTACTCTTTTCTTGAAAGGAGCCGATTGTTGATGGTTCAGTCAGTTTTTTGTTATCATTTAAAAACTCTGTAAATCAAACAAATAGCACTTCTGTGATTATTTCATGAATTAAGTTTAGTTTTATCTTTTTTCTTTTCTTTTGGTGGAAATAAAAGCAAACAAATAGCACTTCTGTGTAAAGCACAAAATTTGTGCCCTTTGCTCTGTTTCACTTGCTCTCCTATTTTGTGGTATTAGTTTTCTGTGCATGGTTCATTTTACATAGATTTAGAATTAGTGACAAATCGTATATTACACACGTTAGCACAAACTGGATTCTGCATTTCTGCTTTCTCTCATCATCTCAGCATCATATAACACTTTTCTGGTTTGCTGCATTTTTTAAATGAACAATTACTAATATTGTTATGTTTGTTATGTTTCAGTCGCAGAGGCGATGTGGCAGATGAATTTAGGAGAAACCATGGCCCCCATGGAACTGGGGCCATACCCAGAGCGTGTTGGTGAGCCAGACTGTAGCTATTACATGAGGACTGGCATGTGCAGGTTTGGGATGACCTGTAAATTTAATCACCCAGCAGACAGAAAGCTGGTAAAATCCATTCTTCTACCCTTCTTTGAGGCATTAGAGTATATAATCTTGTTGTGTTTACAAAACATTAATTGTTTGCTTTGTGGCTGCCTTATTTGATTTAGTTTCATATAGTTCTCATTTCTGAGGCATCTAGAATGGGTTCTCAATTCCAATCGTGTATGCTGTATACAGGTGTACTCATGGAGTACCTACTTGGAAGTTGCTTTATTGCCCAATGATCGGAAAAAGAAAGAAAATGCTAATACTAGGGTAGTTTGAAGTTTTTTGGCACTAAGGATCTATATATACTGTATTTGGAAATCTAACTAACTCGATAGTGTGAAAGCTACTTGGCTGCTGATTTTAGATTCTCCAGTTATAATTTTGAGTTGACACTTAGCTTGGCAAGCTTATTTTCATACGTATTAATAATTCTAGAACTCCAACAAAACTTAGCTTGGCGAGCTAATTTCATATGTGTTACTAGTTCTTCTATTGAAAAGTTTCACCATTGCCATTTTCAAGCTATGTCAATTCTCATAACATCACATGATCGAGTTATCTTATTGAATAATGCCTGAAAAACTGTTTAGGAAATAGGGGTCGATTCTTGATGGTTTGTACACATAACTTTTCAACCAAGATACCGCAACTTGACATTGAAACAAGAGTGTTTGGAGCTGAAAAGTGATTGATTTATTCTAGAGACTAACTTGGATGAAAATAGACCATAAGACTGAACTCACATCTTTAGTACGTCATATTAGTTACTGTAGTTGAACTGTGAATAAAAATAGAGCTTCTCGTCACGAGGTTATAGTGCACATGTTACTTGCTGCAATGTTTATTTCCTTGACCATTCAAATATATAGTTTGGTCAAATGAAATTGTACAGGTGGCTCATCATGAAAACATATTCAATTCAGTCCTGTATTTGTTTCCATGAATATGTTTTCACAACTACCTAAATATTTTGCAGCGTTAAGTCAGGTAAAAGAGTGGAAATGTTGCAGTGACAACATGTTGCAGCATTAAGGGGCACTAGTTTTTCATATTGTAGTGATTCCTTTACCAAGACTATTAATTGCTCTGGTGTATTCTCTTGGGTTCATCTGTGAGAGCTACTCGTTAAGTAACATATCATGATTAACTTGTAGGCTGTTGATTTATCGCTCTTTCTTTTGTTGGAACATGCTTCTTTGTCCTACTGCTCATAATTTCTACCCAAACTTGTGAATAATGATTTTAGTGGTCTGACTATTAGGCTGTTGCTGCTGCAAGAATGAAGGGAGAATATCCTCAAAGAATTGGGCAGCCTGAATGTCAAGTGAGATTCCTCGCTTCTAGTTTTCCCCCTCTGTTTCTTTAGACAATGCAAAATATGATTGTTTATTTATATCCACCTGTGCCTCAATGCTCAGGAGGTCCTGCCATGAATTGTTACTTGAGATGTCTAGTTTAAGACTTCAGATCACTATTTTTGTTTTAAAGACGTTTAACTGTAATTGTCTTCTTGTGCTTCAAGCGTTGTACAGCTGCATATTGATAGGTCTTCACTGAAGTTTTTCAGTCAAATGAATGTATATAACACTAATAATACAGCATATGGTCCTAGAGTATGTGTTGTTATAGTTGAGCTTGATATCTGTTAGTATTAATTAATTTCATGCTGTTTCTTGTTGCATAAATGACGCTTATTGTGCTTTTCAATGCATTTGTCATACCTTTTTGGCTCATGGAGGGCTACAGTTGTAACCTTTTAAATGAGGTCACATAACATTCTCTTGATTGAAATTCTGACTCACATTGTTAGCTGTACATGGTTCTTTAGCGAGTTTGCATTTTAATCCAAGTGTCAGTTGATTTAGGTTAATAAAATTCAATTGTGCATGCCCATGTTACAACTATATTTTGCTTGTCTGAATGCCCTGAACTTTTGTAATCAAGTTGCTCATACATTTTTTCTCCTTTTCTTTTCTGTGAGCATATCATTTTTTTGGAAAGTGTGTGGTTACATTATTGGTGAATTTGCATTTTTATTGTTTTCATATCCCCCCTTTTTAGTACTATCTGAAGACTGGCACGTGCAAGTTTGGAGCAACTTGCAAGTTTCACCATCCCCGAGAAAAGGCTGCAATGGCAACTCGAGTTCAGTTGAATGAACTGGGCTACCCACTCCGCCTGGTTTGTTCTGAATTTCTATTACGATTCACAATGTTTCATGATATGGATGCATAGTGTGGTGCCACATTTCTATGCAACTTTTTTGCAAGATTTGCGTCGTTTACTTGAATTTTATTACTGCAGAATGAAAAGGAGTGTGCTTATTATTTAAGAACAGGGCAGTGCAAGTTTGGAAGCACATGTAAGTTTCACCATCCACAACCATCCACCATGATGGTTGCTGTACGTGGCTCTGTTTATTCACCTGGACAGTCTGCAACTTCTCCTGGCCAGCATGCTTACCAAGGGGCTGTAACAAGCTGGCCCTTGTCGAGATCTGCTTCTTTCATTGCAAGTCCAAGGTGGCCAGGTCATTCAAGTTATGCACAAGTGATTGTTCCTCCTGGGCTTGTTCAGGTCCCAGGGTGGAGTCCTTATACTGTATGTTCCCTGACCTCTGTTTTACCTTTTACATAGCCTAACAAGTTCATATTTCATCACCTTATTACATGGCACTTACCCATTTATTTATCAAGAATGTTGCGGAAGATTGCAACCTTGTTTGTAGTAAAAAAAAAACTTCGATTACATGTTACCTATACTGAACCGGATGGTATCCCAATCGAGGTGTGGAGATGCCTCGGGGACATAGCTGTAGTATGGTTGACCAAGTTGTTCAACCATATTTTTCGATCAAACAAGATGCCTGATGAGTGGAGGAGAAGTATATTGGTACCGATCTACAAGAATAAAGGGGATATTCAAAGTTGTACAAATTACCGGGGAATTAAGTTGATGAGCCATACTATGAAGCTATGGGAGAGAGTTATCGAGCATCGCTTGAGAGCAATAACGCGGGTCTCTATGAACCAATTTGGTTTCATGCCCGGAAGGTCAACCATGGAAGCCATTTTCTTAATAAGACAAGTTATGGAGCGGTATAGGGAGAAAAAGAAGGACCTATACATGGTTTTTATTGACTTGGAGAAGGCTTATGATAAAATACCAAGGAATGTTATGTGGTGGGCTTTGGACAAACATAAAGTCCCAACGCAATCGTCGGGCTCATTAAGGACATGTACAACAATGTTGTGACTAGAGTTCTAACAAGTGATGGAGACACGAATGACTTTCCGATTAGGATAGGACTACATCAAGGGTCACTTTGAGCCCTTATTTGTTTGCTTTAGTAATGGATGAGGTCACAAGGGACATACAAGGGGACATCCTTGGTGTATGCTTTTCATGAGACGATGTAGTGCTAGTTGATGAAAGCCGGACAGAGTGAATCGTAAACTGGAGTTATGGCGGGAGACTTTGGAGTCCAAAGGTTTTAGACTTAGTAGAACTAAAACCGAGTATATGAGATGTGACTTGCACTACTACTCGGGAGGAGGAAGATGTTAGTTTGGAAGGTCAAGTAGTGCCTAGGATGGATACCTTTCGATATTTAGGATCAATGCTACTGAGGGGGATGGAGATATTGATGAAGATGTTAGCCATAGAATCAAAGCAGGGTGGATGAAGTGGCGGCAAGCGTCCCAGTGTCCTATGTGACAAAAGGGTACCACAGAAGCTAAAAGGCAAAGTTTATAGGACGGCGATTAGACTGTTATGTATGTTGTATGGTGCGTAATGTTGGCCTCACGAAAAGACGACATATTCAACAATAAATAAGTGTCGCGGAAATGCGTATGTTGCGTTGGATTTGCGGGCATACAAGAAGGGATCGAGTTCGAACGATGATATACGTGAGAGATTAGGGTAGCGCCAATTGAAGAAAAGCTTGTCCAACACCGGTTGAGATGGTTTGGACATGTGCAACGGAGACCTTCAGATGCACCGGTGCGTAGTGGAATCCTAAGTCAGGATAGTAACGTGAAGAGAGGCAGAGGAAGACCGAAGTTGACTTGGGTAGAGGCAATAAAAGGAGACTTGAAAGGATGGAATATACCCAAAGACTTAGCCTTAGATAGGAATGCTTGGAAGACAGCTATTCACGTGCCTGAACCTTGATTGTTTCTGTTGGGTTTCAACTCTAGCCTACCCCAACTTGTTTGGGACTTAAAGGCTTTGTTGTTGTTGTTGTTGTTGTTGATAAGTCTGACCGGTGTCAGTCCCTCTATCGCTCAATTGACCCAAGACCTTTGGCTACAGTTTTCTTTGTTTTTGTTGGTTCCTTTTATTCTCCTTTATTTAGATATGGAAATAAGGGTAATTTTGTTTATCCATTAGCTATGAAAATTCTTGTGTTCCCATTAACTGTTTGATGGTTTTTAATATGTGTGAAAGTTCCAGGATTACAATTGATTATCTGAAGGTTTAAATTTTTGAGGCCAACCTGATTTGGCATGGAGTCAGCATAAATTTGGCTACTCGTTTTTACGCATCTACACATAAAAATCACAACTTCATTTCCATTCTCTCTCCTTAATTCATGAACTTGAAGCATGTCCAGCTGATCAGCAGTATCTTATGGGCTTACTAATATCATGTCCTTTCTATACATGGTGGGCAAGCACAAATTCTGGTGTTGATGACCAGACTAAAAAAGGTCTCAATTCCATTATCATTCTGGGAGCTTGGTCCATTTGGAATCACCACGATCATTGTGTGTTTGATGGGATTCAACCGAGCCTAAATAATGTTCTGGTTTTGGTTAAAGATGAGGTTCTCCTTTGGAGTTTGGCTGGAGCTCGGGGAATATGCAATCTCCTTGCTCTAGAGCCAGCCAATGTGTGAGCTCCTCTCTAGTGGTCTTGGGTCAAGTTTTGACAAGTGAGAGAGAGATACACCTTTAGATGTAAAAGTGTGTGTGTGTGTGTGTGGCTGTATGGGGTTTCTAAACCCATTCCTTTACTCTTCTTAATATAATGATACGCAGCTCTCCTGCGTGTTTGAGAAAAAAAAATCATGTCCTTTCTTCTTTCAACAAATAAATACGTTAATTTGGCCCCTAAGTACCATCACATCACCTAACTATGAATACTAATGCCACCAACGTATCCTCCTAATCACCAAACATCACATTATTTAGAACATGCATCTCTTGTGTACGGTTGCTTGTGATCATAATTTCTGAGGTAGCATTACCCTGACTGTTACCTAATATTTTCGTCATGCTATGTGTTGTATACTTATATTATTCATTTCATTTGACCTTGAGCACTTGTGGTGATTATGGTGCCCTACTTTTACCATGACCATAATTGAAAAAACCTAACTGCACTCTTGTATTGATCCACGCATAGATTGTTTTAATATTTTAGTGATAAAAGTTCGCCCATGTGGACACTAGAATGAGGCATAAAAATGTTACCATGATGTGCAGAGTCAAATTTAACCATGATTTTAAAACTGTAAATAATTAGTCATGTACTCCGTACTTATGTTACTCTCTGTCTTCAATGATATTGAGGGTAGGTATCCAGGGCTGACTAGTTGAGCACCCATGTTAGGTGTCATTACTGTGATGTTTCATTTCTAGAACACAAATCACATCTTAATCTAGAAATATTCCATGTTGAAAAACTTATCCAGAGGGATTCCTAATTCATGGTAGATACCTAAATTCTGTAATGCCTTTTCATGCCTATTTTGTTATAAAATTTAGCATCTTGATAAGGATCGTTGTCTTTTTTGTGTGAAATTTTAGTTTATTTTCTTCCTCATGCTCATGCTGGTCTGCCTGCCTAGGGTAATGAGCTCAGAGCTTGTACTTGGAATATGAATTATCTATAAGTCTTCTTGAAAGTTACTGGCTGCTCTTGAATCATTTTTGTAGTTTCCATGTAATTCATGTCATTAGTTTTTTTTTTCAAATTATAGGCGCAGATTGGTTCTTCATCCTCGGATGACCAACAACGGACACCCGGAGCTACCCAATACTATACTGGCTCACGCCAGAGTGGAACAGCTGGCATAGGCGATCAAGGAATGTTTTCATCCTACCAAGCAGGTTCTGTTCCCGTTGGACTTTATGCAGTACAGAGGGAGAATGTATTTCCAGAGAGACCTGACCAACCTGAATGTCAGTTCTATATGAAGACCGGAGACTGTAAGTTTGGTGCTGTATGCAAGTTCCATCATCCCAGGGAGCGAATAATTCCTACTCCCAATTGTGCACTGAGTCCATTAGGCCTACCTTTGCGCCCGGTAAGAGTTAGTATACATGTCTTAGTATGCTCTCTCATGTGTATTGCAATTTTTTTGGGTAGATTTATCCAGCTATCTTGGCTTTGTCTATTTAATCTAACTAAAGCATATTGCTACTTGGGCGAACGAAAGCTTGTCAGAGTATTGGTATTGACATGGCAATGGTTATCCAAAAGATCTATAAGATATTCTAGTAACCTTAGGAAGAATGGAAGAACAGACGCTCCCTCAGTGGAGATAGCTATATATAGAGAGAGCCTCATGGGCCATATGGGCCTATAGTAGATGTACACTTAACAACCCCTTTCAAACTCAAGGTGGATGTGGAGGATTTGAGACATGGTGGCCTCACTCTCGGTGGCCGCGGCGGCGGCCTCTTGCTCGTTGGCGACGGCCACAATGACCCTGAGGCGGCGAGATTCGAAGGACAGAAACTGATCCCCACCCTCACAACATTGAGCTTCCCCTACAGGCTGCGCTTCGCCGCATGGAGGCCCTTGATCTCGCCCGCCACATTGTGGAGTTTGGGCATGCTGTCCCCGCTGTTGGTGGCAAACTCGGAGTCTGCCGCGGCATCAGCGGCGGTGGAGGAGGTGACCATCTCCTAGCCATTGTCTGTCGGGTGCCCTCCTCTCTTCTCGGTGCGACACAGACTGGTGACCACCTTACTGCCTTCTTGGTGCTGTGCAGCCAGCGCAGGCGCACCTCCGTTTTTCTCGGCGCGATGAGTGGTGACTGTTGTTGTGCCTAGCTCACCCAATCGGATGGGGTTGGGTGTGGGCTTTTAGCTAGACAGGTTGGACGTGGAGAACAAGTGCTGTCGGCAGCTGAGGTGTTGTCTCTTTGTGACGTCAGCCCATTTGCAGCACGTGAGACAGGCAGTGGCAGACCGCACCGAAAAAAACAGAAATGGGATCGCGGGTGGATTAGATTAGATGAGTCTAACCCTAACGGCCTAACCCTCATCCTTGGCTATGATACCATGTTACTAACCTTAGAAAGAGTGGAAGAACGATGCTCCGTCAGTGGAGATAGCTATATATAGAGAGATCCTCATGGGCCTGTAGTAGATGTACACTTGTCAATTCTTTGGTGTAAAATTCAATTGCTTAAGAGGTGTTTGCAGAAATTGTAATCCAGGGGTGTCATTTCCCAATAGTTATATCTCCTGGTTCTGTTCTGTATCTTAATTTTTAGAGGAACTAGTGACTGCTAAACAGAATTCTTGCTTGGGGCTATACAGCTGTTCCAAGAGCCAATCCTGAATGAGATGTTGTTTTGTGATGTATACTCTTAGCGCAATGCTGCTAATTGAGTTGGCCTTAAATTTTAGGATCGGTATGGTATTAATTTCATACAGCACTTGCTACTTTTTGATGATTCTTGGTCAATTCATTGCATAATGGCTCACTTCCTTGATCTGGCTGCAGTTTGCTTGATAATTTTTGTTTATTCTCTGTTAGTTCTGTTTCACTCATGATATGCAATACTACTATCACATAGTTAAGCTGAACATGATCCACTTTTGTCCACACATTATTTTACTATCTGGTAACTACATGCTTGAGGAGCAGTATCTTGGGTTATGCACTAGATACCTTGCCATGGATTGTATTGTAATATATACCATCACTTATCCTTTTTCATTTCCTTGATCGTTGCTATTGTACTTATTACCTATGGCTACCGGACTATGATCCTTAAAACTAATGCCAAGGTTGATATCATGCAATACTTGACACTGGTGGTATAATGTAAACATGCTATACATACATGTTGCTTAAACATCTGTTTTTTCTGCTTACAGGGAGAGCCAATATGCAGTTTCTATAATCGCTATGGCATGTGCAAGTTTGGTCCAAATTGCAAATTCGATCATCCAATGGGAAGTGCTATGTATGGCCATGCTTCATCACCAACTAGTGATGCCCCAACTTCTCGGCGTATGCTGGCACATGTACCATCGCATCCAGAAGTATCACCTGACAGTGGCTCGGGAAGGTCTAGGAGGATTGCCCATTCCGATTCCCAGCAAATACCCTCTGTTGAAAGGGGCACTGAGAGAGAGGCGTCCTAAGCCATCCTCGGTGTCTTCGTTCATGCTGCCTCCCTCCCATTCTTGACTGGAGTAATTATCTGCAACAACATTTGAGGATCCGAAGCTGTACAGGTCTTTTGCCTCACCTTTGAGCTTTACATACCGGAGCTTGCTTCAACATGTATTGCATTCAGGCAGGAAAAAGTTCTTGCCTGTTCGGGATGCTCATTTGCCCCGCGCCTGCCCCCCCCCCCGGAAAAACGGGAACAGAGCTACCTTATTTAAACATATGTATGGAACCAACTCACCTCTGGACATTCAAACCCATTCGAGTAATGTGCCCTGGTCCCGGTGTTGTAGTTATAGAGGCTGTGTTTCGATGGACAAAGCTACTGACTGGGGATGCGCAAGCATAACCTCTTTTGTTAATTATCATCTCGTTTTTCTTAGCATTTCTCTTTTCATAAGGGCAACCCCCGCACTCTAAAGTGTGCGTGTTGAAGATCGGGAAATAATAGGTTGCCATCATATGCTCTGTATTACCTACCATATTTAAACTCGGTTACTTGAGTCATTTTTATCGGCTTAGTCGGTCAATTTGCCTGGAGATTTTGATTCTACATCCTGAACAAACTGCCCTCGGTGCTTATCTGCGATTAAAGTGCAAGATGACATGAAGCTAATGGATAAAGTGATGGTAGAGTTTTGATTCTGGACCACAATCGTTCTGTTCGTTTGGTTTATAAGCCGTATTTTTTTAGGCAACGAATAATATTTTTCTCTCACAATAATTCAGCTATCAGTATTTTTAGTCATAGTTTATGCGTCAAGCCAACAGGCAAATATTGAGCGAAGTTCACATCCATTTCTACCAAAAGCAAATAGACACGATTAGACACTGCACTGACCACTGGGTGCGTCCGCTGCTGCTGCTTCCTGCAATCCCGCTTCCCCAGCGCTTCTTTTCATAATTTTATTATCCACCAATGGCAGATGGCTCCTGTTGCTCACTTCACTGCCCTGCCATCCGGCCACTACCTCACCAACCTCAGCTATATATTTTTTTAATTTTAACATTTTTTGATAACTAATTTTAAATCTAACACTGCACGTTTTTTTTAAAACTAACACTTTTGGCCGCGTCTATTGTCCTGACGCGGCCAAATGCCTGTGCCACGCCATGCATGGTGGCGCGACAGCGGTCTGACGTGGCGACGTCTGGTTTCGGTGACCGTTGACGTGGCAGCTGTTGCCGCACCACCGACTTTGGCGCGGCAGTGCCGCGCCCTGATCCATGGCGCGGCAGAGCCGAATAAATACCGCGTGCCCCCCTCAAGACGCACTCGCCTCACTTGCTGCCCGCCAGCGCACTTTTCGCCCTCCACCACCGTTGTCCACCGTCAGGTAAAGACTCGGCCGGGCCGGCGCCTGCCTCGCCACGCCACGCCCCCTGCCCTCGCCTCACCACCACGCCACTCCTGCCACTCCCATTGCCATGCCTCACGCCTGCCTCGCCAAAGAACGCCACAGCGTCAAGGCCGCCCGCTCTTGAGGTATCTCCTCTCGATTTCATATTTTTTTGGTTATTATTAATTTAGGATAATTAGTGATTTAGGATAGTTAGTAATTTAGGATAGTTAGGGTTGATTTTATATTTTTTGATTATTATTGATTTAGGATAGTTAGTAATTTAGGATAGTTGGGGTTTTATGATTGGTATTGATTTATGATAGTGATTTAGGATAGTTAGATTAGTTAATTTGTTTGTGATTTACGTAGGTTTGAGGTTGTGTGTTCTAGTATAGTTAGGATTTTGGGTTTAGGGATTGATTATATATTTATTATTTAGATTATAGTTAGTTATTTAGTTAGGAATTTTGGGTATAGATACTAGTTTACTCTAAACCCAAAAGGGTTTAGGTATTTTAGGGATTGATTATGTATTTATTATCTTTATAGTTAGGATTTTGGGTTTAGGGATTTAGGATAGTTAGGTTAGTGATTTGTTTGTGAACTTACTAATGTTAATTTAAATTTTGTTAATTTGAATGCTCTAATGCTTTGTTTATCAATTCGTAACAGGATGGCTCCTCCCACGCAGCACCTATTGTACCTCATTCTTGAGGTGTAGTACGACGACCAGCACCGAGCACACATCTTGAGTGACAACGACGCAGAGGTGGCCTTGCCTCCTTTGAGGCCCCAAGACGCACACCAGTATACACCAGTGGGACGAGCGGCGTTATCGCATATACCGCATACGGCGTGTTTAAGCTTTTCGAGCTTGTCCGTGTTGTCAACCACGGTCTTCCACCCCTTGACCCAGCACTACTTACTGCAGCTGTAGACAGGTGCGAGTGCATTCTTTGTACGTAAACTTTCTTTTAACAAATTTGAGGCAACTAACAGTCGTTCTATTCTTATAACAGGTGGAGGTCTGAGACCCACACGTTCCACCTACCTTGTGGCGAGATGACCTTGACGTTGCAGGACGTGAAGGCTATTTTAGGCCTTCGGTTGGGGGGACTTCCAGTGACAGGGATAGTTGACAATGATCACTGGAGGGAGCTGGTGGCTCAGTTTACTGGTTTTCTTCCACTGAACGACGATGCTTCCAAGAAAAATAAGTGAGTAATTCAAGCCTATTTAATACTTGCATTGCTTTCCTGCAGCCATGTGGTCTCATTTTCTTTGGTCAATTTCAGGAAAAGTTCCGGTGTTTCGTCGTCCTGGATCACGGAGCGCTTTGATTACTTGGACCCACAGGCTGAGGAGGCTCTGATCGACAGGTTCGCTCGTGTGTGGCTCTGGCACTTTATTGATGCTTTCCTCTTCCCAGACGCCTCGGGCAACACCATCAGCTGGATGTTCCTTGACATACTACGACAGCCGTGGGAGAACATAGCGGCGTACAGCTTGGGCAGCGCAGTCCTGGCATGGACGTATCGACAGCTATGCGTTGCCTACCGTCGCACCTCAAGATATGTGAACCTTGGGTGTTGCTCGTACCTACTTCAGGTGTGGTGTTGGGAACGATGGCCCGTTGGGAGGCCCCTTAATAATGGTTTACCGGTAAGTACTTCGGTTCACTATATTCTTAGAGGCAGTTATATATGAATTCATTATTAATCGCTAATTCATTATCGTGTTCAATACAGCGATAGAACGGGCAGGATACACTCCCTACAACTCTGTATATCTAGACGGAATCAGCGTTAGTTAGAGGGAATGTGTGGCGCAAGTACAGGGAGTACACGGACGGTCTCGACGTCCTGACACAGCACCAGGTTACGCTCTCTTTACCATCATACATGTGTCTTCTTCGATGTACACTATACCACAACCTAACTCAATTATGAAATTTTAGGTGCATTGGTGTCCTTGGGATTCTTCGGAGCTCCAGGACTATCTCAGTCCTGTCACTAGGGACGAGTCAAACGAGTATCGCTGCGACGTCCCTCTTATTTTCTTCCATGTGGTTGAGATTCACTTGCCCATCCGGGTCTGCAGACAGTTTGGGAGAATGACAGGCTGCCCACCACCGCTTTACTCCACCAACCAAGAATTGCACGGGTGCGTTATCGATTAATAACAATGCTACAATCCAGAGGTGTGTGGTACAACTAACATCGTTTTGTTGCAGGTATGACCGCAGGAAGAGGTACAAGACCAAGGATTGGCGCGTGACACGCAGCTCGCGCATCCATTTGTGGCAGAACAGGGTACGACATCCGGTCCATGCGGGTCCTCCACACGACCAACACACCTTCGATGAGTACCTGCGGTGGCTTCACAGGTCTACGAGGACACATATCAAGCCCCCGTACACTGACATGGCGATTGACGACGACTCGGAGGAAGGTGTCATCGAAGATGTGTACGACGTTACCACTAGGGAGGACACACAGCTAGAGAGAGCATCGCTTCAAAGATACGTGGTAATATACTTGAATGGTACAATTTGTTATCCTTTTGGTATTAAGTATGTATACTAAAATCGTCCAACCGCGTTTCTATATCCAGGCAACACAATTGTCAAGGCTGTCCAATGAAGCAGCGTTCCAGCTTCACGAGTCTAGAGGTCAGGGGCCAAGCGTTCTCGCGACTTTTGTGGAGGTAACATAAACTTGTCCGTTCCGAAAATGCTTCTTTAGTGTATATGCGTTTGGGTAATGCACTAACTTTAACGTCTATTTATGCAGAAGGTGAAGAAGAGCTGTAGGAAGCTAGCTCAGAAGCTGAGCTGCATGGACACTCCTTATGAGGAACCGCCACTCCCGGCGCGGTCAGGTGGCACGTCTTCAGCGTCTTTGAGGACACCAGCTGGCTCTTCTCAGCCGATGACAGGTGCCACTTCCGCGGTGCGTACACCACCACATCATAGCGCTAGGAAGGACCCTGCAACCAAGGACGATGAGGACGACGATGACGACGACCCCCCGGGCTTCTGCAGACAGCACGACCAGTGGGACGATTGACCGCAGGACGAGATCGGCATGTCTCAGCTAGGTGGTGCCCCACTTGGTACCCAAAAAGCCTCACAAGTACTATCAAAGATAGTTTATTTAAATACGTAGGCTCCATGAACTAACGATCATAAACAATTATAAGTAATCGTGCGTATCATATACTTGTAGGGTACGAGCCTAACGCACCGTCGACGTGACCATACCGACGTTGGCTACACTCCCAATGTGTTGCCAACAAATCCAAAGAAACAAAGGCGTCCGAGGGATCCTTACACTCCTAGGTCTTAGTTTGTTAGGTCAAACGAATATTGGCGTCCGAAACTTGCGGGGTTATTTGGTTATGTTATGTCAAACTTATGTCAAAACAATGAAAATGTTATGTGGCAGCTTGTCAACTTGCGCACGGACTTCATTTATTTGTTCCATATTCGTTTCTTTGCGTTGCGGCAGCACTGCCGGCGAGATTAAGTACCGACTAGTTCGGGAACCGGTAGTCCCGGCGTATCTCGATGCCGGTGGCAATTTTTCATAATCGATTAGTTAAAATGGTGGTTAACCGTATTATGAAAG